GCGTTATTATTACCAGAACGTTTTGGCATCGCATCCTCTCAGTTATAAGCGAAAAACGTGAGTATACGTAAAAATTATATAATTAATCAGCCTGTAAACAATCTTCCCCCCATTTTTATGACTGTGGAAAGTGTTGCTTCGACGCAGATAGACCTCTTTGATATCGTATGTGTTTGCATAATAAACATAGGTCTGGAATGGCCTGGTTTTGGAGCTACAGGGTGTTGAAGTTGATATAAAAAATTGATTTTTTGTTTATATCTCTGGAATCTATTAACTGATCTCTATAAAATTTGGTACAGATATGATAGTAGGCCTTACATTCCTTAAAATATAAGCTCTAAAGGTTCGATCAGTGGTGTACAACTCGGCAGGGGTCACCCCCTTTCTGTCATCCCTATGTAGAATAAAAAATTTGTTGTCAAATGTTCTTAATATTTCATTTTTGTGCCTTTCGTTCCGCCGATCGTAGTTTTCCAAATTTTTTTATCACTGTTAGTTGTTGTCGGGTATAGACTACAAATTTATGCATTCTAAAAGAAATGATACACAAGTGTTGCCTTTAGATTGTCATCTCCTGCTACATGACTCGTAGGACTGTGTTGCACAAGTCATTAATTTTCGTGTTGTTTATTCCTGAACCAAAAAAAAATATATAGTGTAGCATTGTTATCCTTGAACTCTTTACAGGCAATAGAGTCTTAATTGTTATGCACTTAATGTTCTGTGGACTGTAGACTTTGTAACATTGAATTCAGCAGGAATTATTCTTCCACTTGGATTTTTTTTAACAGTATTTAAAACAGCTTCCTCCACATCCACAGTCCTGACAGCTTCTGAACGAGCGTGTTATCTAATTCAAGCTATAAAATACTTTTTTCTCGAACCTCCTATCAATTGCAGGAAAATACTAGGATGAGCAACCTGTCTACCAGGAAACTTCAGCAAATCACCAGCTGCTTTTTCTGCACCCCACAGTAAACATCTCATAGGTACTTCGCTCTGAGAGAAAGTATGTATTATTAAACTAATTAATTCTTATATGAATAGAATTCGCTGTTTAGTTATAAATAATATTTAACAAATTAATTTCTATTTAAACACTTCAGCAAATTGAAATGAAAGTAGTTAACGTAAAAGCCTAATCCTCTTATTTACTATTTGAAATTCGCTATATCTGCATATTATTTCTATTACAAATGCTAATTTATGTATTCATATATTTTTAATAACATTCACGTAACCTCATTTTTTTTAGAATGAAAGTATTTAGATATTTATGGAATTAAGTCAAATTTAAAAAATAGTAAACAAACCTTGGCACCACAGCGATGTTAAAAAAAATCTTGTGGTGCAGGCGATTATTTACTTTTTTAAACTTAATTTGCAGGTGTCACAAAATATACCCAAAAAGGTAGTAGGTACTTTTTTAAGACTAAAAAACTTCAAATGAAATCAAATTTCGTAAATATTTCAGTTTTTATTACCCACTATTAGGAAAATACTTTTCGTACAGGTAGACCTATTTTTAAATTGTACAATTTTATATTGGGTACTTTTAATATTTCGATGTCTCAAATGTGAAAAATGACTGAAACAATCAGTAAATTTTACGTCAAGGAGCATTATATTAAACTAAATGCTTGATAATGGTAATATAAATTTGAAAAAGTAATAATTCGAAAATGGCTCGTTTCTTTTATTCCTCAGAAAAACTACAGTAAATTAAAAGCAGTAATCGAATTTGCCGAATTTGCCAGTGGCGTCGAATTTCTGGGGTTCTTTAGAAATTGTGACTCACCATATCTCCATCACTGGTTGATGTATTTATACATGAACCCAGCAGATTTTGACCTTTAATTGGATAAGTAACTAACTCAAGTGTTATCACTCTATGCACTGTAAAAAAATTTCACTCAAATTTCACTCAATTTTACTCAGTAATGTATCAGTATCTTTCCACACAAGATTGAGTGAAATTTTCACTCTATTAGTATGAATACAACTGAGTGAAACTATTGCAATAGAAACGAGTGAGTTTTACTCAAATTCGTGTTACTTCTAACAATTAAGTGAGTGACTTTTGACTCTATTCTGAGTATGTAAAACCAATTTAGAGTTGACTTTTTCTCTAATATTTTTTTAATTTAACTATTATTGAGTAAATTTTTACTCAGACTTGATTTATGTATATTCTCTTTAAATTTTAATTTAAATATCATTGTATTAAAGTCATAAACTACTAATCTGCCACAGTGGTTTATATGCAGATCTGTTTTAGAGGAAATATTTTGAGTCTTGAATTGGTGAACTGATCGGACGAATAAATTGCCATATTCTATATTGTACGTTACAAATACGTAATTATAGACAACAATTTAACTATCCATTCATTTAACCAAATATTAACCGAGACAATTGTCTTTAATTATTGTGATTAACTAAATCACTGCATTTAAATACAATTTTCACTAGAATAACCAGATAAACCGATACTTGTCCAACTCCAAAGCACACCATACTGGCATCAAACACGCCACAGTCACGAGATAACCTAATGGGACGATGGGAACAGACAAAGACATTGCATCTGGATATGAAAAAGGGTGAGATCACTCAGTAATGAGGACATTTACTCTGATTTAGGTACAAGTGCACCAAATGCGAGTTTACGTGAAGAATTTATGTAAGGAGTACCAATATTTGAGTGAAAGTACCTACTCAGTTTTAATTTAAATATAATCACAAATGAATAAAATGATCAAAATACCCAATAATGAATGAACATGTACTTAATAATTTCACTCAAAGGAGTCACATCGAACCTTTATTGCTTTCACTCACATCGGTTTTTTTACAGTGTGCATACCTTTTTTAAAGGATTATAAAATAATAGAATGAGGGTTGATTTTTTCCATCTCCTAAGATGTTAGTTAAATCTATGTTTGCCTCATCATATATGGTTGCATAAGTAATGGATGTAGATTTAATTAACAAATAAATTGATTTGACAGCTGGAGAAACCTATCCTAATATTAAAAAGTAATAACTTTACATTGAAATAGTTAAGGTCAAATATCTGGAAAGCTAGCTCTGGATAGATATCGAAATTAAACAAGAGTTCGACATTTTAGATAGAAAATGTTCCTCTTTCGGAATTTCTCTTCGTTTTTACAATAATTGTAAAGGAAAAAAACTTCCCTGCCTCCCATAGCTAGTTAACTAGGGCCCTCTATAAGCTTCACTGCAATTATTATTTGTTGTGCTGCTTAAACGTAAAATTGACAATTTTTTATTTTATACTACAAAATCTTTAAAATTATTGAGAAATTTCTTCACAAACCGTCAATATTTGTGCTAGGCATGTTTGACTCAATCATATTTGAATGTCTAGAATATCCAGGTCCGAGTTTTGCTATTCTTTCTATGAGTCACCGTGTATAAGTATACAATTTTTTAAAACTATTATAACACTTGCGTCGGGTTTTGGTATAAACGAATTTTTTATGTTCAATTTCTGCACACTTCTTGACCTTGAAAAGTTTTTGCAAAATTCACATAATTAAAATTTTAAATTTATTAACGTGAAGTGGAGTTAGGAGAAGACGCCGAGGCCCCTAATGGTCTGGGCCCCCCGCACTACTCACTATTGTTGTATGGTAATTCCGCCGCTTCTTACGGGTGTTCCTTGTTTGCATATATGTTAAATCAACTTTTCACCAGATGATTAGTTCAGGAAATTAAGCAAAAATTTTAATGATCGATGCAGATATAGCCTTGTGAAAGTATAATGATCACTACCGCCTTTTAATTAACTTTAAGGTATGACAAATATAGGGGAGACTGGGTAATTTCGGCCACGATTGCAATATGTTACTACAATTCCCTGGAACTCTCTTGTGAGCTTTGCTATATTATCAAAAAAATTATACTTGAGAATGAATAAATTTTTCACTGTTTTTGACCTTTTTATGGGTCCTACCGCCTTCAGATGGGCATTTGGAGCTTTGTGACTGTGATGACTTTTGATCAGTGATAAAAAAAGGGATAAACCAGGAATTAAGTATTTTATATTGACCATTGATGCTCATTTATTTATACTTATTTATACTTATTTATATAGAAGTGGTATTTGATTTTTCTTTAGTAAGTACCTACCAAACGTTTAGAAAAGAAATGAGCTAAATAATATTTTGTTAAGAACAGAATGAAGAATTCGATTGCATAAAAATATTATCAAATTCTCATATTAAGAACCAGCAATAGTTGATAATGTATTATGAGAAATGGATGAAGAAGTGAACATGTTTCTTGTGGTAGTTGTTCTACGACTATGTTGTTCTCCTGAAGATTTCCATGAAGTAAAATAATATGATATCTAAAAACTGGCCTTGAGGTTAACGAAGCGAAGCAAAAGTATTGAGGTCGACGGAAAATTTTAATATGTGACCAAAACCTGCATTTTTGTAGCGTCGACAACTTGTTTCAGAAACAGACTCGTCAATAAAAATGTAACTTTTAGACCTCGGTAGATAAACAATTATTATTAACATTGATATAAAAACAAAATTTGTACTTTATGCATGCAAATTACCGTAATTTTAATTTAAAAAAATTGAAGAGAAATTAACAATTAAGTTGTTACACTTGCTTGTAAATGTTTATTATTTATTTATTTTGGTATTGAATATTTTAAATATTCATCTATCATACAGAGACACCTAGTAACCAGTAGAGCAATCAAATATTAACTTCAACGAATTTTATTAATAAATTATAGAAAGCTTATCAATCTTACCATCCACTTCATTTATTACAGTGGCTTCTTACGGTTTCAGCAAACTCTTTGAGGTTTATCTGATTTACTAGGAATAATTCCACTTTAGAAATAACTTTGGCAACAAATATCGTAGATGGTACTTTATGAAAATGGTTATTCGTAAAATTGATGAAGAAGAAGAAGAAGAAGAATCTTGAAGTCAATTTATTTTAAGGTTATCTTTCAAGATGAAATTGGGTTTTGTCTGTTAACAATATTAATCTTTAATAAAAAAGTAAACAGTTGTTGTTCAGTAAACAATGTCGTTGCCTTTAGAAAATGTGGCACAGGATTATAGTAAATATTGTGATGTCGATTTAAATGGAAAAGTATTACTATTATTTAAAAGAAAGTTAAATATTTTACTGTATAATTTCAGCTTCAGCCCATAAATAAATCGATAGAAGATATGCTTGCCAGACTGGAAGAATTTCAGACAATGGTATCATTTGTTAAACAGGATGAGACTGATTCTAATGATATTTTAACTTCATTGCCGAATTACAGAAATGATCTAGAGGATATGTTTAATAAGATAGATACGATGGAAAGTTTAGTAATACATATGAAAAACAATTTAGATAAACTGGAAGATGATATAGAAAAGGCTGAAACTGAACTTGGATGTAACGATCCCAAAAAAAAAGTAACCAGTATTTTTACACCACTTTTCGTAAGTTTTACAATGCTTTATATTGATATATCTCCATATTACGTTGAAGGTCCTTGTAATATTGCATAAGTGTGATAAAAATATACCTAGTTGTTTATACTAGAGAAGAGGAGTAATAACATCAAATTTGAAACAAATAGAACTTTTTTTAATAAACAATGAGTGAAACCCTATTTTATAATTTAGAGGAATGCTTATATTGGATTGGCCTTTATTTCTGTACAAAAACTTTGGCCAAATTTCAAAGGTGGGTTCTATTTAACAAATATTTAAAAAAAAAATACTGTAATCGCTTCATTTTCGATATGGTTTATAAATTTTCAAAAAAATTACTTTCTTTAATAATAAAAAAATTAAAGCAGTTCTATTAAAATTTTCATTTTCCACTTATAAAATACCAAAATGAATGGATAGTATTTCAGGGGTAACTTTCTTAAGTAAATTAAAAAAAAAACATTTTATTTTACCGTATATTTTTTTAGAAACAATTGGTGACCATATTTATTGTAAAAATGGTATGCTCGTATATCATTAAACGCATCATTCCTGAGATAAACAGGTTCCTTGTCTAATTAAATGTTTTCTTTTGCTAAGTTTGTAGCTATATTAAACATGATTTATGATTTTTCCTTAACTTTTTCAGATATCAGTAATTGAGTACCTATACATCATTCCCAAAAAAAAAAACATTTAAAGGCATTTCACTATGCTTTCGAATATACCTAAGTTTATTAAAACCATAAGATAAGTTTAACAATGGCGCAAATTTGGCAAGAACATAAATTTTAATTATACTAAATGTTCAAGTAAGGATAATAAATAATCATCATTAAAAAAATCGTTCAATAATGTATAATACACATTATCTTCGGTACCTATTATTTACCAAATTATTGTTTACATATTTTCTATTTCAGAGAAAAAATACTGAAAAGAAGCAACCCACACCAAGTCTTGGACTGTTTAAGGTTGAGGATTATTTTGAACAGCAAAACTCTTAATTATAATTTTTATTTCCTAATGTATACTTTATTTTTTAAATATATGAAGACATCAAAGCTTTATATTATTACTGGTGATATAGAAATATAATCGTTAATATTAATTTTATATACTACAGCTGTCCTATTTTTATACAACTGTAAAAAAAAATAAAGTTATTTAGCCCTTTTTTGTATTTAGTATATTAGTTTTAATTTTTTTAGGTTTTAAAAAACATGTATACATTTTTCAGAATTATTTTTGGAATTTATTTCATTTTGAATTTTTCTCAGTGATAATTTATGCTGACAAAAAAATTATAGTTTTCAAAATACAAGTAAATCAAATTCATTCATGCCCTGATGATACGATGTGCAGTAGTAAAGTAGTGGAATGAGGAAGGAAACCTTTATTATCGGTTACTGCTGAAAAAATTGATTTAATATTTATTCTTTTTGTCTTAAAATATGAAACATTATGGAAAAACAAACATATTGTTATTGTACAGAGGGTATTAAATGTAGAAAATATTTTTAAATTTCTACAACATTAAAAAGTGATAAAAAATGCCATCTTGCACAAAAATCTCCACTGAGTATACAAATACTTAATATAAGAGATGCATAACAAAAAAATTGCATTTTCCAAAAACATCAAATTTAATTCAAACGCAGATAACTAAATTGAGACTAGATTTCTTTTTCTTTTGGACAGAAATGTTTATGGTGATTGAGTTTTTACTTTAAAAAAATGCTTGCTGCATTTTTGCAATAACATAATAAGTAATATATTCGTAAATCGTCCTTAGGTGAATATAGGCTATATTTAAATAATCCTGCACAAGACTTAAGTTAGTTCTTAAAATATCCTTCTTGGTTCATTTTTTACAGAACTAGTAGCTGAAAATGACCATTGAACATTGAACACACTTATTCGTGGCTTAAAGAAATTGCTAAGTACCTACCTTAAGAATCTTGTTTTTACTAATGGGAATTTTGAAAATATAAGTTTTATAAAATATCATTGTTTACTGTAAAAGGTATTCATGTTGCTTAGAGCTGTTTTCTATTTATACCTCAGACATTAACACTATTCTGCAATGTCAGTTGCAGACTGGCACGCAGCTATATCATATAGCTTTCATTTTGATCAGGCTTAAGTGCAAATGTATTAAATGAATTAAAAATTACTATTTACTGCTCAGTGGCAGTAAATGCAAACTTTTATTTGGTACAAAGAAACGAATACTTTACTTTAAAAATTGATAATATTGGTTTTCAAAAAAAGAGTCTCAAATTCTTCACAATTCTCTTTATTGACATAATTATTCCACTACTAGTTTTAGTTTAATGACAATGATAATTGATGATAATCTAAATTTATCTACTGACGGGTGCAAAAAAATTAGGACTTGTCGTTTTCGTTGTAGTTTTTGCTGTTATTGTTGCCGTTGCTGCTGCTGTTTCTACTACTACTGTCGCTGCCACTGCTGTTACCGCTATGCTGCTACAGTTGTTATTATTAATAATACTATTATTAATATATTCATTCTCATTATAAGGTTATATTCAACCAATCAACGATCGCATTATCTCGAGCGTAGACGTAATGATTTGTCATGGTTCGATGTAAACATATCATTAATATTGGTAACGCCAAGATTTAGGGAATTTTCGTTAGCAGTACCAATAGCGTATTGTTGGTTTGCCTAAGCTCAATGATCACGTAGCTTTTAAACATGGAAGCTCTATACAACTGCGCGGGAGATTTTGACGCTATTGCACCGAAAGTTGTATCTGCAGAATAAACATAACAAACTTGTATTAAGTAATTACTGAATATGGAGCTGACACATTGGAAAGATGTCAATAAGTAAAAGTAAGTCCGATTTCTATAACAATGTCTCTAGAACGAAGTTTCGTGTATTTTTATATAGCTTCCAGCAGACTGAGGAGTTTCAAATTGACCTCAAATCTATCCACTTCGAGGCTTTCGATTATTATTTGCGCGTTTATAGGAGACATGATTTGGATTTTTGGGGGTTTTAAAATACATCAGTGCAAGTTATTTCTCTGTTGAGGTAATATATAGAAATTTTTTTTACATTTTTACAGAGCCGGATTAACCTATGATGAGGCCCCCGTACCCCCTCCCTTAAGTCTAATAACTTAATATATAATATAATAATGATAATGGTAATGAAATTAAAACCTACCTCTATATTATACTTATAGACAACACTCGTGGCTTTATTTTTAATAAATGCTTGTTAGAAACATTTTTCTTCATTGATGTTGTTTGTAGAATTTTAATACCCAACCCCCTTCCCATAAAATTTAACAAAGAACTATTTGAACAAACTAATTGCGATAATCTGCATACTTTTTTGGTGGAGGGAGCTAAACAATTTAAAAACCACATAATAAACAAAGTCCAAGTTTACCTGAATTTTATCGTTTATATTCTTATATAACTGTCACGATCATTTCTAGTACCTAACTGGGTTTATCCGAAGATAACCATTTTCCACATTTAAAGAATATTATGTTGAAACAGTATGAGTCAGTTATCCACAAAACATGTTTTGCGTGAAACGTATGTAGTTTTCTTCGTAAATATCTGACTAAAAAGCAATTTGTTATTAATATTAATAGCATGCATTCAAAGACTCAAGATTTCCAATATGCAAAACATGAACGCTCATACATACAAAATGAGCGACTCGAAAAACTCCTGGGTACTGATTTTCATGAAAATTAAAAACTCTTTTTGAATTATTGGTCCGCCATATTGGATCGGCCATTTTGAATTTTACCATTCTGACTTCTAATTCGTAATCAGCGACCCCGAAAATACTTAGATGCCACATTAAAAAAGGATCCATCGAGAAATAGTATGTATGGCTCAAAGAGTCAGTCAAAGAGTTGTTCTTATTTTTAAAAAGTCCTGTTGTACAGGGTGAGTCAGTTTTTTGTGGTAGAATTTTAACAGTTAATAGAGATTCATTCTTTAATAAGAAACATTCCTATAAACGTAGGTCTTAGAATGCTTCGTTTGCTTTGTTAATATTTCTAAAACATTAACAGATATTAAACTGAAATTTGGTATTGAAAACACATTAGTTATGGTGAATAAAACAAAGATAAATGTTATCCATTTCACCCATCAGTGACGTACCTGAGGTGGGTTACTACCCCATTTAAAAGAATAATTTGTACGCCCCTGGATTTTTCTGGAAAATAACATCATTACGACATTTAATCGTTTTTATTCATTTTCAGGGCACATCATATTTTTCTTATTAATTTACAAATGTATTCATGCAGTTTCATGCCAAATCAATTTAATCAAAATTCGTGCATTTTATAAAAAATTGAGAGCTGTTTTGTTCAGAATTGATTAAAAAATTAAAAAATTTAGAAATGATGTTATTTTCCATAAAAATCCACGGGCGTACAAATTATTTTTTTAAAGGGGGCAGTAGCCCACCTCAGGCACGTCACTGGTGGGTGAAATGGATAACAGATATCCTTGTTTTATTCACCATAACTAATGTGTTATTAATACCAAATTTCAGTTTAATATATGTTGGTCTTTTAGAGATATTGAGAAAAATTCTTAAAAAAAGTTTGTTTTCAGCACCCTATATCCCACAAACGAAGAGTTCTAAGACGTAGGTTTATAGAGACTTTTCTTATTAAAAGATGATTTTCTATCAACTGACCACAAAAAACTGACTCACCCTGTATAATACAGATGAATTTAGCAGCAAGTAGATGTAGAAAACAATCTATTTTGAAAATTTTTGTCTTTAAGAAGTTTCGTTCTACCTGTTTGGCAACTTTTCCTATGTATCTGAAATATACTTATGGAAAAAATTAAGGGGTCAAAAAAAAATCTAAATTTTCGGCGATTTTTCAAATGGCTGTATCTTTGATAAAAATGGTCGTATTGGAGTAAAAAAAAAGCAATTTGAAGCTTGAAGTTTCTGATTTTTGGATCTTGCAAAAAAAAATCTAGGAACACGTATCGCGCAATCGTAATGAATATCATGAAAAAAAAATTTTTTCAAAATTTTTTTCTATCTTATTTTTTGTGTATGGACTTGAAAAAAATGGACCTTGTAGAGAATTCATTCAAGTTTCTGAAACCCACCGTCGATTTTCTGTGCAACCATTGGTTTCTGAGATATCGATGAACAAAGAGAAAATGATCCATTTTCATTCAAAGTCCGATAGCTCAGCGAGAAATAGTCGTATCGAGACCAAAAAAAAAAAAAGAAATTGAAGCCACAAACAACCTATCTAATCCATAAGGTGGTTAAGTTGGAAAAAATTTTTTCAAGTCCGTAAACCAAAAATAAGATCGAAAAAAAATTCGAAAAATTTTTTTTCATGATATTCATTAAGATTGCGCGATACGTGTTACTTGAAAATTTTTTTTTGCAAGATTCAAAAATTAGAAACTTCAAGCTTCAAATTGCTTTTTTTTTACTCCAATACGACCATTTTTATCAAAGATACAGCCATTTGAAAAATCGCCGAAAATTTAGATTTTTTTTTACCCCTTAATTTTTCCCATTAGTGTATATCTAGATAATTTTAGGTCTCTTATCTTAATCTAGATGATGAAATTCATAGTAATGTTTTTGATGTCTATGATGATGAAACTGTTGATGTATCTATAAGTATTTAACATATTTGTGTTTTGTCTGTCATCTCTAGATGAAACAGCAAAATTCGGTTAATTAAATTAAACTTTTCTTATATAATCGTATAATAAAAAGTAGTTCTTTTATTTAGAATCGCCTCTAGTTAAAAATTTAATCCGTTTGAAGTGAATCGAACCATTAATTATTATTTAATCCAGGTATTCCTGTAGACGCAAATGGTTAACAAAAAACTGTAACACCGAACGTCGACAGATTTTTTACAAATTTCGATATGTGGCCTTCGTCTTCTTAACGTGTGATCAATTTTGCATTCCAGAAAAAAAATGGTTTCTTTCGTAGTTAATAACCCTGAGCAGCCTACACATATGACCACTCAATATATATTCAAATATTTCAGACATTCTCCTTGTAGTAAATTGTTCCTCCTGAGACAATGAATGCGAAAATTATTTCTTAATTATTACTGTATGGGTACATATAAATTTGGTGGGGATTCATGTTATAGTACAGACTACTTTCTCTTTGCCATCGGTGACGTTCTGTTCTCTCATAATCTGTTAGTGTTCAGCGTTAAGAATAAAGAATTGTGTCGTGGTCGCGTATTTTTATTTATTTATTCTCGCACGATGACTTGTTCCCAAAACGTTTAGTGTCCTTAAAAAATATTTAATTCTACCGATCATAGGAAGCGGTTTTTGTGGCGTGTGTAAAAAAGTGATAACTGATTGTGTGTAGAATGAACGGCTGATTCACATATTGGAAATAACTGGATGAAACGATGACTTCAAGACGTCTCAATTTTTCCTATCTCTGCCTCTGTGTCATTGCCCTCCACTATTTCTCGACAGTTAACTCAGGTCAGTACAAATCATTAATTAAATGTAATTATATAGCAATGGATAGTAATTATAGGACACGAGAATTGTAGAAAATTGCATGAATGTATGTTTTTTTTACGAAAATTGGGCGTCCTATTATTTAAAGAGGTGGTTACTTTTACGTCCTTCGTTGAGTCCTTTGGTATTTTTATTGCTCGCCACGTACATGTATTAAATGATGGAAGAGACGATTAAGTATGCATTGAAGTTATTATAAGATTTAATTTTAGTACATTCAGTTCGAGGTGCCAATAAGATTTTAAAAATGTAATAACTTCAAATTGTAATTTATCTTTAAATCTCTAAGCCAAAATGGAATAAGTAGAAAATCTAGAAAATTTATCAATTTTATTAACTCGAATTTTAATAAATATTATAAATATACCTAATTTAAAGAAAAATTTCATATATATTTTTATGAAACAATAAAAGCTTTATTAGCTTTGAAATATTACGGAATAATGAGGTAGGTACTTAAGTAAAACAAGGAATCGGAAAGTTTAATATTGCATGTGCATGTACATCATATTTCCCATGTCATGCTAGAGTAGTTCGGTTATTATTAGACATAGAAATTTGAGTTTTTTAAACATTTGTAATATTTTTTAAGAGAAATCTGTAACTCAAACAAATTATCGATATACAGGGTGATTCACAAATGGTGGCTAAAAATGAAACCTCGTATTCTTTAGTTTTAAAGGGAGTTTTTCCTATAAAGTTTTTATCTAGGACGCTTCGTTAAAAAGATACACCCTGTATCTCGAAAATCAGTATTTTTTCGAAAAGCATAAAAGAGTAGTAAATTGTAGAAAATTGAAAGACGAATCCGAAAATATCATGGTTGTTACCGTAAAGCAGTGACGTTCTATTTTATTAAGAAAAATATGCCACCAATTCCCTGTATATCCGCCACTGGAGCATGTAAATTTTAGGAAAAGCCCTCAGATTTTAGACAATGTTTACATAAATACATGTGCCCAATTTCAAATTATTTCACTTACTAGTTTTTAAATTATTTTAAAAAATTTAAAATATTTTTTGAAGTTTAACATTCTGTATCTTTTTAAAGAAGCCTCCTAGATAAAATTCACCAAAGAATATGAGGTTTCATTTTTGATAACCATTTGTGAATCACCCTGTATGTTGTAATTTTGGAATTACAGCGAAAATTTCAAAATTTTAATATTTTGAGTGACCTCTGTAGCAGTGACAGTTGGATCCTGTTCCTTAAGTGTCACATACTAGGTATTATAATTTTTTTTGGGTAGAATCCAGAGGCGTACTTATTTTTTTAATAACTGACAGTTTTAATAGAATTAGAATAGAATAGATAATAAAAAAAAATCGTTTTAGGCTTTCAAAAAATGTATAGTTTGTTATAAAAATTTCAAAAAGTAAAAAATTATATTTTTCCTCTGTTTTAAGAAAAAAGGATAGAGTTAGCCAAAAAACAAATTTATATAGCTTATTTATAAATATACAGGGTGTTGCAAAATGTTCATAGAATTCTAGAGCATATTCTACATCCAAAAATACGAAAACAGATTTCTATAAACGTACCTAGGTCTGCAAATTCTTCGTCTTCGAAATGGGGTGCTAGAAAACCGCTCGCTAAATGACAAATGTGCAAGGCGGCCTTCTCGTTCTAAAATAAATGGGGTTCCTAAAAATAAAGTAAAAACCAGTGGCGTAGATTTTCTACTCCCCAATATCTACGCCCCTGATGGGTCTGAAATGCAATCGATCATACAAGCTACTACTACTTATCATAAATGTATTGACCCAAATTTAAACGATTTCCAATGAAAAATTTAGAAATTGCCAATAAAAAAAATATTTTTTTATTTTTTTTGACACTATTTCGAAAACGAAGCACTTGCGGATCTATATTTATAGGAATTTTTTCGTATTTTTGGATGCAGAATCTGCTCTAGAATTCTCTGAACAACATTTTGCAATACCCTGTATATATTTTTTTCACAAATAACTTTTAAACTAATTTTTTTTATGCATTTACAAATTTAAATACCTTTTTGATGAAAACTGTTGGCTTTAGAGATATTAGCAAGATATGCCTTTTTTAAGCAGGAAAGTTGAGTGAAAAGATTTTTCCAGTCCAAAGTGAAATACACCGGGGCACAAAAAAGTTTTGGCAGTTTAAATGCGTCCTAATGGTCGCTTGTGGCGCCCTCTACAAGATACAACGAAATCGTCGATAAATTCGAATTTCTGATCCCCTAAAATCACCGGATACGAAATTTCACGAAATTAGCTCGAAGTAGACGAAAGAAAATGTTATTTATTTTTTCAACTTCAACACCCTGTATCTCGCCGGGGAAGTACTTTAAACAAAAAATGTATATGAAGTACCCATATTAATTTTACGTGTTCTATCCTATCTGCTGGCGAAGTTCGTAACCGTATTTTTGTTACATTCTGTATACAGACATATTCAGGTTAATATTCTACTATCCTTATTTTATATATTTTAATTTTAGGAGAGATCTTGTGGTTTTCATGCTGCACTTCAAGAAAAACAATATTTTTATACATATTTTTATAAATCTGAAGTGAAATTTTGGATTGTTTCTGTACTATTTTTTTAAAATCACAAGAAAAATTACTAAAGCGTAGTCCACACTGCTTGTTTTTCTAAATACAAAAATAGAAGACATAATCTATAATACGTGAATATCTTGTTCAGGTGAAAATAATATTTCCTTTTTTTATATTTTTAAAGTAGGTACCTACTTAAAATCCAGTTAAATTTCAAATGTTTATTAGCCTCTAAGATGCCGTTAGAAAATATTTAATTTAAGCTTGAATTTTCTAAATCTATGCCCACCTGTTTACAACATTTTTGTTAATTTAAATAATCAATCATCAAATGATTAAATTAAATAATATAAGATTTATTAATGAATTTAATAATATGAAATAAATAAATATAAAAGAAATTATTATCATCATCAAAACTTAAAACATTATTTACTTACACTGAAAAAGTACTGTAATCTTTAAAGCAAATTCTATTTGAAATTATTAAAAATGTAATACCTACTTACGAGTATAAATCAATAAAATTTATAGCATGTAGATATTTTCGGATAAGGATTGCAATTATAAACGACAGCGACATTTACCGAAAATGAATTAGAGAAATAGTGACTCATATCCGGATTTAACATTGTCGGGTAAGACAGTGTTGGTATATCATTAATTCTGGGAATTTCGATACTCACATGTATATATGTATTTTAGATATTTAGGTTAATGCATAAGACAATAAAAACAATAATAAACAACAAACTGTTATTCGTTTACAGTTTATTTACAATAATGTTTAAGTAAACTAAAGGTATTTATTATAATCAAGGTGTGCACAATACCCTTGACTATAACGTATACTTTTAGTTTGCCAGAAATTATAGACAACTGAAAGAAAAGATTATAGCAACAATATGGGCTGTGCCATACTTTCCATCCTTCTTAGCTAGAAAAATACATGTTTTTAATATTTACAAAGAGTGTTTTCCTGAAGAACGCCCTTAGTATTCTAAAAAATTCGTAGGTACTTAGTAATTCAACCAAATATCTAAGGATGTACAAAAATATATTCTTGAAAGTTATTCACTTTTTCGACACGTTTTCAAGTAGTAAATTGTTTACATTATAAGTATCTAATTTTAAACAATGGGTATATTAACCCCATTCTATGAAACTCTGTATAATAACATGATATTTTAGGAAGGTAAGGTAAGAAGTCATTTATTTGTGGCACAATTTTCGTTTTCATCTTTATTTTTTGGGTATTTTGCCACCTGCAAAAAAATTTAAAAACTAGTGAAATAAATCCTTGCTCCAGAAGGATCAGCCAGAGTTATTTCACTTTAAAAAGTTGTTGACGTTTCGAAAATCAGTGCAATTAAAACGAAAAGTCCAAAAAAAGGTTCAGAAGACAAACAGATAGATTTAGTTTATCTGTATATCCATTTCTTATTATCAAAACCACAATGAATTGATCGACAATCTGGTAACATAACTATTATATGTTTATTTTATAGCGGTTTGGATTTGTGCAAGAAGACATATCTACTTCGAGGTGATTTTAATTGTTTGTGTGGTCGTGCAAGTGAGAACGTGTCAAACGGAACAATTCAACTGTATATGTGTAGAGTAGAAAGTAAAAGAAATTTATTTGTGGGAGATTAGCTTTCTTCGTTAGTAGGTGCTTCTCGAAAAATCGGGGTTTTTCTTCGGGAAATCTGCACTTCATTTTGCTTTATCCTAAAAGTTTTCCTTGTTTTTACATTTTCGGTGCTTCTTTCAAAATTAATGATTATAAATTCCTTTAAGTTACAGTCGACAGACTCGGTACTTATATAAAAAAGTACAAAAGGCCTTTTATATACGTACCTTAGTTTGATTAAACAGTAATGTATTCTTGTCTTTATCCTGAATCACCAGTAATTTTTGAGATTCGCTAATTTATAAAAGAATTGGTAACTGGAATTTACTAGGATCTTTCTGACTTTTTCCTGCAACATATTTTGGCTTAGGATAAGGTATTCCATCTTTACATTTAAAATTTCTGATTAAATAAATAGTAATAATGATAAACATTTTAGTATTTGTTGATAGTGTTCCTAGCAACAATCAACCAATCAACAAATTGATCTTGAAAGAGTTATGACCATCAAACCAAAGCCTGTCCATTATCAAATACAAAGTCCTCAATTGCTTCTGTCGATTACTAAAAATAAAATAAACACTTTTTGCCACTTCGACATTGATGGTTACCACGGTTGTTAAATTTCGTTCTGCGGCAAACTATACTTCCTTTACACACAAATAAAGTAATCAGTTGGTTTCCGTATGCGTAGACTATTACGGTGAGCACAAAGAGCTCTGGAATATTAGCCGATACCTAAACATGATTATATTATTTATTTATAAAACCGTTATTTCTAGTACTGGGA